ACTCACGTGCACTTACACACACTCATTCTCACACTCACACACAGTCACACTCACATACACTCACACACACACTCACTCACACGCAGTCACTCTCACACACACACACACACACTGACACACACACACACAGTCACACTCACATGCACACACACGTAGTCACACTTACTCACACACACACACACACACACGCACTCACAAGCACTTACATGCACTCACACACAGTCACACATACATACACACACACACACACAAACACTCGCACACTCACACACACTCAAACGCTCGCACACACACTTAAACTCACACTTACACTTGCACACTCACACTCACAGATGATTTGTGATGTGATATGATGTGGTGTGTGTGTGTGTGTGTGTAAGACGTGCTCAGCTAGACTCCTGCATTACTGTATTATCACTCCATGCAGCTCTGGATCTCTCATAGGGAGATGATCAATAATATTGATGTCATAACCGCAGACAGAGGTAATCAGACTCTTACAGACAGACACACAGCGACTGAAACATGAACAGAGACAGAAGATGTGATCAGCTTCATGTTACATTACTACATCAGTTGTGTTGCTTCACTACCTTATGGAATAGTGGAAATTCCTTTAATTTTTTGTGCTGCACAACACAAGTTTACTGTTTAAACATTGAAGAAATATTGTGTTCTATTCTTTAAAAATACTTTTTTATAAACTATTATTTTTATTATTATTATTACTTTGAGAAGTAAAATGTACTGTACAGTACTGATACATTTTGTAACAATTTTTTTCAAGCTAAACTTTTATTTTGGCAGGTTGTAGTGAAGATCTTTAAGCTTCTGTGTGTATCTCCTGATAATTTTCAGAAAATAAATGGTGAAATGCTGGTGAAGTGACTCTCAGATGAAGTTCATGTGCTCATATATTGAGATGCAGACGAGTGTCATGTGTGTTTCAGAATGTGTAGTAGAGCAAACTGACACACACACAACATGCAGATTCACATTTACACAGCAGTGCTTTACATTCACAGACACTAGTGCATACGTGTACAGCCCTACTTTTGATTCATTCATCCAAATGTTGCCAAATTCAATGACATTCCTTGTTATAAGGAATTCCATTTTTATTACTGGATTCCGTCTACTTTTTCATGAGTACTATGAATTCAGACACACCACTCTTTTTTTCTTTTACTATATAGTGTAGTGCATATTCATTAATGGAGATACTCAAGCTCTCTGTCTCCGAGCAGGTTTTGCTGGGATCTCCTCATGCTGCTGCTGATGGTGGGAAACCTCATCATCCTCCCGGTGGGAATCACCTTCTTCAAGGACGAGAACACTCCTCCGTGGATCATCTTTAATGTGGTGTCGGACACGCTCTTCCTGGTGGATCTGGTGCTGAACTTCCGCACCGGGATCGTGAAAGAGGACAGTACGGAGATCCTGCTGGACCCCAAGGCCATCCGCCAGCGCTACCTGAAGAGCTGGTTCCTCGTGGACTTCGTGTCCTCGATCCCGGTGGATTACATCTTCCTGATGGTGGACCTGGAAGCTCACCTGGACTCAGAGGTCAGTCTCTCTCTCAGCAGAAGGCATTTTCTTGATTCAGGAATTTTATTAGAGTATTTTTCAAATTAAGAAATAGTTAAACATATGAAAAAAATTAATTAAACAGTGTAACCAGCAGTGTACTTTACTCTCCTTCATGTCCTTCAAAACCTCAATGACCTTCCGTCTTTCTTCAGTGAAGCACAAAAGAAGATATTTTGAGAAATGTCTCAGTGTTTTTGTTCATACAGTGAAAGTCAGTGGGGACCTAATTCATTTTTGGCTAAACTATCCATTTAACCAGCAAGTCATCCATGGTCAAGTCAAGTCACATTTATTTCTATAGCACTTTATGCAATGCAGATTGTTTAAAAGTAGCTTCACAGTGATGAACAGGAAGATAACAGTGTGAATGTTGTAAAATTAATCAATTATGAAACAAATTTCGGCTGTAAAGCAGCTCTACAGAAGACAATAGAGTCATTATTCAGATCAATTCAGTTTGGTTTTTATCCAGCAGTTAAATCAATAATATTACTGAATATGAAGTATCTTTTACTGTCCTACAGAAAGCAGTAAATGAACACTGGCTTTCTGTCTGTGTCTGTGTGTGTGTGTGTGTGTGTGTGTGTGTCTGAGTGTGTGTGTGTGTGTGTGTCTGAGTGTGTGTGTGTGTGTGTGTCTGAGTGTGTGTGTGTGTGTGTGTCTGAGTGTGTGTGTGTGTGTGTGTGTGTGTGTGGGTTTCTCCCGCAGGTGTACCGGACGGCCCGAGCGCTGCGGATTGTTCGATTCACCAAGATCCTGAGTCTGCTGCGCCTGCTGCGTCTGTCCCGACTCATACGCTACATCCACCAGTGGGAGGAGGTGAGACACACACACACACACTCACACTCACTCACGCACACACACACACACACTCA